GTATTGAGTTTGTTTGTTTGTTTTTAATTAAGCACAAAGCTACACAAGGGCTATCTGTGCTCTGCCCACCACGTGTATCGAAACCCGGTTTCTAGCGTTGTAAGTCCGCAGACATACTGCTGTGCTACTGGGGGGCGTTGTATTGGGAAAGAATAAACTAGTTTTATTTAAGAAAGAACTTGTATCGCTAAAGTTTCTTCGGAAATAATTTTTACGGAAAATTAACAAACGAACAGAGACGTAACAATATGTTTTATTTTATTGCATCATCTAAATGGGTTTAGAAAATCCATTACTTATAAAGAAGGGGGGGCGTTTATTCATATATTCCTGCTTTAAATTCAAGCAGCGAACACTAAAATGAGTAATACATAAAAACATTTATTGGCCAGGAATCACTAAGTAATTTTGTAATGATTAGGTTAAGTGGTATTGGTCTTAAATTTTACAACTGTTTGTGCTTTTTTTGAGCATTTTTTTCACGTTGCTCTTCCTAACACAGGGTTGGACGTGGCATAATGGCTCGCGACCTGTTGAAGGACCATACTGTTGACTTCCTTCCAGTCAATCAGCAGTACATAGAGAAGTCTTTGCGTAGTTAGCCCTTCTGTAGCTTTGCACGAAATTATAAAATAAACAATCGTAAAATAAACTTTAAAAAATGTTTTTTTTCCCTTTAATACTAAGTATTATCCCTACATCTATTCAGATATATTTATAGGACATATTTAACTAAGAAATAATAATAAGAACCGAACAGATTAAATTGAATTTGACAGATATATATCTAGTATAAGAAAATGCCTCGCAGGGTTCCATTTCAATAGAATAACAACCTTTGAAAGACATCACACGACTGTATTGCTATAACCCGATCAACATCGTGTTCTGAATGAAGATTTAAATACTTCAATTATTAGCAATAACACATAAACTTGGTTAATCGAAATGTTTTTAAAACTTATTATGCTTTGTTTCCCGAGAACAGTTGAAGAAGAACCGTATGGTAACGTGTCTTCTTTGCTTATCAATTTCAGTTGAGAATTACCGTCCGCCAACAACTTCACTCGTCACGATGGAAAGTGAAGATGAAGAACACTTAACGAAAGAGAATCTGCAAAAGAATTCAGCTGATCCATGTTCTGCCAGACCGACTGGTTTGAAAATCAAAGATAATCTACAAATATATTCCAACCCTTCAGGAACA